TCATCAGCTTATGTCGTTACGGAGTAGTACGAGACTTTAGAGCACAGTGTATTAGTTTCTGCCATGCTACGCTGCATAGCAGCAGCACGCTACAAGCGTACAACTGGTTGAAGCTGTGTCGGTGTTTATTTTAGTATGCCCAGCAGACCACAAACTATTGTTCGTCCTTCAAATTCTATCGCAAAGAATCATACTAACTTTAGTAGAGCATGAAATACAAACGCTGTTAGGTAAACGTGTTATTGTTAAATGTGCATCCGAGCCAAGGGAATATATATATATCACCAATTTTTCCAGTCCCAGGAAAGATAACAGGGTGCGCATAATTCTCCTAACCAATATATCGAGTATTAACATTTCAAGATGGATACAATCAATACTGTATTTAGCATGTAGGAATTGTTCGATGGCCTCCATAGACTTGAAATATGCATATTATTTATAGTGTGGGAATACACAATGATTCTGAGAAGTATTTAGATTTCACTACCATGGAGAGCTTTATAAGTATTGAGCACCCAAACGGTCTTTCCTTTTGCCACGAACATTTATTTATTAAGTTATAAAAGCCACCACTAAGTGCTACAGGGAAAAGGGATGTTCAAGAATTACCGCCGATAGATTTACAGGCTTATGCAAATCATTAGACAACACTTAAATGTGTATTTATTATAACTTATATAGAATTTATATTTAATTTAACATAATCAAATAAATTCAACACTTATCTTGACATTATTATATTGCATTGTTTTTGTTAATTCACTAGCTTGCCCTCTGGGACTGTTGTTACACTGTTTTTATATCAACTAAATGAAAAAAATTATATTGCCATGCTGATACTGAACCGAAAATATCCATTCCATTAAACCAACTTGTTCAAATTTTTTTCAAATTAATTTGTTTCATTGAATGGAAATTCAATCTCAAATTTGTACTAATTTTTTAATTAAAACATATTTCTTCGTTCGGCATTTTTGGGAAAATGCGTAGTATTTGATTATTAAAAAGAACGTGAACTACGTGGCTTTTGCGCTACTTTTTGTTTAAATTCTGAAATCTCGAGTGAGATCCCGTGATATTCGTTAATTGCTAGAAAAGTACTATAGCATATTTTGCTCAATTTTTTAACCAGACGCTGGATAGGCCTATATTTAAAAAATGAATAAACATACACACTCCAAATCCTTTTTAAAAATGTCGGAAATTGCTAGTTATTTTAGACATTATCATCTTTTTTTTTTAATGTGTAGGCCTTCTTTTTAGTAAATAGCAGTGTTCTCATGAAGCCGGATTTGCTGGTGTTTCATTGATATATTCACTGTTATACCGACATTAACAGATATATATATGTATATATATATATAACTATATATTGCTATAACTTGTCAAAAGCTTCCCACACTCATCATGTACACAAATACATATTAGGGATCAGTCATATCATATATTATTTCTTACAATAAGTGACCTCCAAACGATATTTTCCAACGAGGAATGATAGGCATATTTCGTTTTATCATGCATCAACACTCCACTAATTTGTACTAATCAAAACTGTCAACCATGAGCGCTACTATCCAATCTATACTTTAAATCGAAAAATCTAGTGATTGTATTAGAGAAATATTCTCTGCCTTTTATTGTTTTCTGCACATATTTCGAAACAAACGTGGGACACTAAAAAGTGAAGTTAGTCAGCAAAGAGAACAGGTTCGCAGATTGCTAACTTTTTGTGAATACATGTCAAGCCCATGTCTTCAGTTTTCGAGGAAGCAATAAAATGATGAGTTGAGACTGTACGTGCTGGCTTAAATTTTATTCCATGATTTAGTTGTTCGAATAGGACGAATGATGTACGCGTCTTTTCTAACAAAGGCGGTTACAATGTGGAAGGTACGGCTCTGAGCCTAAGTAATCCGTTCTTCATCCCTGTTAATCATAACTATTAATATAACTAATCATAACTAATCACAAGCTATTTTCCTTTCTATTCTTCTTCTTCTTTCAAGTGAATCCCATTTCAATTAAGTTTCCTATTGAGTGACACTTAGGCTTTCTTTCCTGTACTCCGAAAACAAAAATGTTTAGTTCAGGTCTTTTTTGGACCCCTTCCAATATATTTATTAACCCCTTCCGATCCCATGCACTGCTGGCCTACTCGAGGACTGCACTCATAAACTGGCCTACTCGAGGACTGGACTCATCATTATATGCTGTAGTATGTTATGTTCTGTGGGTAAAACCAGCGATTTCTTTTGAAGTACTTAAATGTTGCAATTTTCTTTTGAGGTACTGTTTGCCACATGGTCCACGCAGTTACGTAAGTTTAATAGCTCGTCGGAGACATATTTTATAATTATTTGGTTTCAAACTGGTAATTTTTAAATTGATTCATCATACTTTATATATTGTATGCCAATATATGTGGCTCTTATTTTATTTTATGTGTCTGCATCAGAATAAAATATTTATTGTACGAGTACTTTGACCATAGGTCATCATCAGGTACTGCGCATGATTGAAACATGGTATGTGACGACGAGATCCAGAACCAGAATGTATACCCCGTTGCGGTGATAAAGTAGCCAAGCTACAAAATGTCATAAAACAATTAGACACCTTCGCCCGATACTTAACAGAAGAAACATGCATGCATAAAATCATAAAGCAAATAATAACGGCATTATAAACTGGTAAAAGGTAATTAATATATGAAGTCTTAAATGAGACTGAAGCACATGTGAAGTGAACTATTGAAAATTTCAATCGAATTTTTGCGATTTCTTTTGGCAGACAGTGTACCTAAGTTTCCTAACATTTCTGTATAAAATCATGTTTTGAAACATTTAGTTTTCTTTGTCTAGATAAAAAATAGTCCATATTGTCTATAGGTTTATGTTATCAGAAATGTTTTTTAAATAATGTTTTTGGACGATGTCAAGAGTTCAAAATCGGTTTCGTTTACAGCTTCCATATGTATTAACATAACGATGCGAGTTATGGGTTGTTTAGCCTTTAGCAAGTCGGCAATTAATACAGCATCAAAAAATTAAGCCAAGTAACAGTATTAATTATCATCTTCTTAGAATAGACCGTAAAAAAAAGTATACAGAAATGCTCATATTTATTAATGAAAGTAATCTACCATGTACGTTTATTTTTGAGTGAAAATGAAGTGCAAAAAAAAAAAAAATAACCTTCATGGTCTCTTGAGTATCTGTTCAAATACTACAGTTATAAACAATACTGCATTTGATTTCTTGTTTATTACGTAACCTATTCATAATGACCGATATAATAAACTGCACTTCAACATGCCCCAGAGTCGTTTCATAAGCAAAGTATATATGCTAATATACTTTACGATTTTGTGTTCGCCATTCCTTAAATATGCATAATGAAATTCAGGACAGTAATTTGAAATTCTAGCCGCGGCCTATTAGGAATTCTATTAGGTTAACATTATGTACCGTAATGCGGATGCAGCAATTTTCAGTAGTTGTAGTATTATATACTAAATTTGTTGTTCAGTTCTGTGTTTCTTTGTATGGATTACCGTATATTTTAATTTGATGTGCTCTCCTTTTTGGAAGTGTTTAATAAATTTGAATAATTTGATAATAAAAGAGAGAATATCACAATGTCAGCATAAATAAAATTATTTTATTACCAATAAATATAAGAAGCCATGATCAGTACCAAGCATTATTTTAATATATTTTTCGATTTTTTTAATGAATTATATTAACAACAGGATTGTGTGTCACAAATCCTGGTTTGAATAGCTACACGCTATCGCAGACTATTGGCGACGCTGATTTTGTCAGTTGAATAATTGGAGCGTTCCCGATTGTGTCGGGGAAAATTACTACCGGTACGAAGTGCAAGAATTGCTGTGAAAGCGGATAGGTGTAGCGACTGTGTAGCGATTGTATAGAAACCGAGCTAAAAGCCTGGTTCCTTTAAATCTCTACATTGTCGCTATAATTATTTCAGTGTAATCGTTGCACTGACTAGCCGTCCCCGACGCAATCGGGAAGGCTCCCCGACTCGACCGACTAATCATCATCAATCCTGCTTTCATTAAAATCGCTATACTGTCATTACAATGTGTGCAGTGCAATAATTGTACTGTGTACCAGTCCCCAACGCAATCGGCAAGCCTCCCCCCCCCCCAGATGTGTATAAGAGACAGCCGTCCCCTGATTCGATCGACCAATCAGCATGAAAGTTGAACCTGGTTCAACTTTGCCGATTGCGTTGCAGACCAATCTGGGTGCCTTCCCGATTGGTCAGGGCAGCTAGCAATGCACCCTGATTCGTCTGCAACGCAACCATGTTCAACCTTCCAGAAAACTGTCGGCAACTGTCGCCGATAGGGAGTGAACGATTGTATGGAAACCGAGGTTCACCTAAAGCTGTCGCCGATAGCGTGTAGCGATTGTATGGAAACCAAGCTTAACTTTACTATGAAAAAATCATATGTTACATAATGATGATGGTAGTATAGTGTACCGTATTAATAATGTACAATGCTGCATAGGCCCTACAGTATATGAGGAATAATTAGGCCTATAAGTGTGTATGATACTTCAACTTTGTTGTCAACACAACAGATTAATATACTGTCTGTAGATACAAATCAATTGACAAAAGGTGATAAGGTATAATTGTTACAAAACATTAATCAAAGATACGATAAGTAATTATTTTATTATTTTATTTTATGCCTATGAGAATAACACTTCATCCAGTTTTCCATCTTTATATTTATATATATGTCAGTAAATTTCCAGTCTTGGGTGTGGGGTCTTTTTTGGGTGACAACCCCCTCCCATGTTCGTATGTGCGGATTGTAATTCTTTTAATCGTCGCAAGACCAATATGCCATCAATAAACACCTAGGTCTACATGAGCACGTATCCCGCACGGACAACTTGACATTTACTGTAGGCCTATAAATGCGTCTTTGTGTTTCTTTGTAATAAACGATAGTAATGGGACCGACACAAACCAATATACCAAGTGGCCAGCAAGGAGCAGACGGACATCAGTCAATGGGACCGACACAAACCAATATACCAAGTGGCCAGCAAGGAGCAGACGGACATCAGTCAATGGGACCGACACAAACCAATATACCAAGTGGCCAGCAAGGAGCAGACGGACATCAGTCAATGGGACCGACACAAACCAATATACCAAGTGGCCAGCAAGGAGCAGACGGACATCAGTCAATGGGACCGACACAAACCAATATACCAAGTGGCCAGCAAGGAGCAGACGGACATCAGTCAATGGGACCGACACAAACCAATATACCAAGTGGCCAGCAAGGAGCAGACGGACATCAGTCAATGGGACCGACACCTGTCTCTTATACACATCTAGATGTGTATAAGAGACAGTATATATATAGGCCTATATAAAACCCCCTCCAGCTCCACCCTCCTCCGGCCCTGGTAACTAATACCTTCTAATTTCTTCTTCGGTATATATATAATTATATATATATATATACGCTTGTGACCCACCTGTTGCCCGTAGGGTACGATTGTTTCTCCCGTGGAGTGGAGGGAAGTAATTTATGCTTCTCCCACACTTGAAAAATCTTTTAGTGACATAATGTTTCCTATTAATTTGTGGATGTGTATCAAACACACATGATAATGCATGGCCTAGGCGACACACAGCATGCATAATTTTCGGCGGCTGTGCTTAAAATAGGTTTGAAACACGCCAAGACTGATTTATCCGTTTTAAATATTCCATATTATTGTGTGGGGTATTAGGTCATACAATAGTTGTTCTATTACATGAAAATAAAAGAGTCAATATGCATGTCTTTGAAATGAATGCTCATGTACTTTGTCGCGGCGTTAAGAAAGCACAAAACCAAAGCAAAACAGGCCTACAACACACCTGACAGGCCTACAACACACCCGGCGCTGCAATCGCCTTTTATGGGCGATTTTACGTACTGGTATTTTTCTATCGTATTGTAAATTATAGATGTTTATAGTTATACTATAAACCTATAGTATATATTACCTTCGATGCTTTTTTATACATGAGCGCACCTCTGACGACTCCCCCGGTAATATAATACGCTCACATACATAATTTATTAATATTGCTGTTATGAAAAATGTCCATATACACAGCTGAAACAATCGCTCGCTGGAGCGTACTGCACTTGATGAGGTATATTGTGACATTTGACCCGAACAGTTGTCGTATATAAGAGCTTTCGTATAAAGTATTCCTCCTTTGTGTGTGTTGGAATACGGCAGATCAGATGAATGTTGAAGACTGAATATACGGAGTAAATTCTACGGAGTAAGTTAAACCTTTTCACAATTTGTTTGATAGAAATTCTATTTTCGGAAATACAGCGAGTAAGTGTGACCTATTAATAATATGGAATTCTGAGTTGAATTGTTTAGCCGGTAAACATATTATTATTATTACGCCGATTCATCTGTATCAGAAAATATACATCAGTATTTGTGTTAGAATACCGCATCCGGACAAGACATTCAATATTTACAACATCTAGCTACGTTAGAGGCATAAGGTGAAATAACAAATTAGGCCTATAATATAATGATTTAAAATGTCTAATTTGTTTAGTCAGTTTACTGTTGAATATCCTGGCTAAAATCATTTTTTAGAATAAAATTAACTGTTTTCCATGTTGGTGTCCCTCGTCAAACGCGTCATATAAGGGATGCTATTCTTTTCTGCCTCAAAATTAAACATAATTATTCAAACTTTTCCATTTTCATCAATTAGTACCGGGTAGTCTATTATAGGTCCTTGGTGGCACTGGTCCTCCATGAAATTGACCCAGTATAATAGCTAATGATTTAAAGACGTTTACATCACTCTTAACATAACCTGGAGGACTCCATCGGTTATCTGCAATCAGACCCATCTCAAACCCTGAGCCAATGGCGATGTTGGCGTAGAGAAGGGGTTGTTAATACATCATATAACCATCGACATTTCTGTCGTCAGACGCCATTTGATGTCGTCAGACTAAAAATGATAGTTTGCGATCCAATTAGTTATTGCGATTGCAGATTCCTACTGTACCCATGTGTAGGCCTATTATTATTTTAATCAAAAGCACACCTTTCTCATTTTAAACATACCCTCTACCTCCTTGAACATGAATATTAACTTCGAAACCTGACGAGAGGCCCTATATTGGTCCCTTGATTGGAGCATTGTTATTAGACTTTGGACCACTAGGCTTACCAACATGTCCCTAGTATTTCCACTCTGGTACTTCAACTTTAGACACTAAAGCAATTTTAAGTAGATCAGCCATTATCTCTTAATCCAATTCATAATGATTTTTTTAATGGAGAGATGGCAAAACCTAGGTCTTTCGTTTTGGTAAACTCTTATAATGTTTGCACTTAACAATAATAATAATAATAATTAAAACGTTTAGCATGACTTTCATATTCTCTGAGCCTAAATTAAGTTTAATGCCATATACAATACAATCGATAGCCCGACAGTCTTACGGACTCCATTAGGCGTAATATGAGTCACGCATGCGTTACCCGTAATAGCATTATGTATATTATAATATGAAAAAAAAAAAAAAAAAAAAAAAAAAACAGAGAGCAATATTTTCTGTTTAATTTTTTAAAAGTTAATTCAAAGATAAAATAGACTAAGGATTTCAAAATAAAATTATTAACTCGTGAAATTTATTTATTATTGCGATTATTGCAGACTCACCTCCTTGAGCTGTTATATCTACAAAAATCAATAACAACGCTACATTCCACGCCGTCCGATCGTTCCTACTGCTATTAGAATAACCTGTCGATATACGGTATAATATCATTATACACCTCCATGCATGAAATAGCGTTCTGGATAGAAAGTAGCGTTTGGATGGTACGCTAGCAAATGAGATGATACAGTAGTTTAACGAATTTAGGGAGGCTAATATACATACTATTTGTGTCTCTCAATATAGGCCTACGGTATACATCTCCATGCATAAAATAGCGTTCTTGGTACAATAGCTTTTGGATTTGAGATGATATAGTAGTGTACCCAATTTTTTGAAAGCAACCAAATAATCATTTTTTGTTAAAGGTTTCGGACACCTTCTTCCCTACGGATTGTTCAAAACCGTGTTACTTAACAGTTTGGTGAGGAGATAAGAAACCGTTGAAACAGTTTAAATCAGACATTATTTTATCTACTAAGAAGAGAAAGAAGTGATTTTCAAAATCCTCCTTCTAATATTAAAAAAATACCACCCAATGGATCGCCCTTGTGTTAATACAACACATTGTTCAATTCAATTATTCTAAATTTAGGCCTAGGCTTAACCTACAAAAAAATATAGTCGAAGTAGGTATATATGCTGTAGGTACTTATTTGTGATGACATGAAACTATCGTGTCAAAGTCGTAACTAATGTGGTTTGTTAAATTGTTTTTATAGGCCCCTTGTTTAATTGGGTAAGGCTCGTAACTAGGGTGAGTTGTACCATCACCCGAGTAGGCCTACATGCAATTGGGTTAACTGATTAACTACACATTCTTCGCATGACTTACTCTCCCTCTGAGGTACAAATCTTTCTTTATTAGGTATGCCGGGCTTAAATACAGATATCATGCATTTAGCGCTGTATAAAAAACTTGTAAAGAGGTGAAATTAATTTGTTATTGCCTAAAAGCTAATAGACAATTAGTGTTATTGATTAATCATTATTACAGTTTTTTATAAGAACACTGTGGCTGAAAGTGCTCTAAATTTAAGAACAAAATTGAGACTGAGGTAAAATGTCAAATGAGGTACTTATTTAAAAAAATAGAAAAACCAACAAATCTTATCTGTACCTTATTTGCAGTAGGTGTGGCTATGTAATAAACTGTTAAATGTGAAAAAATAAGAACAAAATAAGAACATTTGGAGCCTGAAATCGACAAAAAAAGTAATAACATTGAGTCTGGGCAAAATTTTACTGGTTCTGAAAGTGTATTTTAGTTAGATCGAGTGTGGCCGCATAGCAAACTATGAAAAATAAGCTGACCAACAAAAAAAAACAAAAACAAAAACGTATTGTTGTCAGGTAATTTTTGGTCACGGTCCTTTGGATAAGTTATTATTATTATTATTATTATTATTATTATTATTATTATTATTATTATTATTATTATTATTATTATTATTATTATTAATACAGATTAATACAATGATACATAGATCGCAGGATTTAGATATGTGTCATCAGAACCAAAAAAAAAACAAAAAAAAAAAAAAACGTATTGTAATCAGGTAATTTTTGGTCACTGTCCTTTGGATGAGTTATTCGGGTCATTCGAACCTAAATGGAGGAACGTTTCCACCCAATGATACATAGATCGCAGGATTAGGATATGGGTCATCAGAACCATGGGTGTCCCTATGGACGTTATGTCACGTCTCACTCAGTGACGGCAACTAGGAAAGGTAATTAATACGTTACTGGTTTTACATGTGTATATAAGGGTATATACCCATCCGACCCGTGATAAAACTTCCGGATAGGGTTGGGAGGCAGGTCATTAGGACCTTATAGTAAAAAATGTTCAACGGTCCCATGTCGCATAGTTTGGTTAAGATAGATGGTATGCGTGACATTAATTTGACTTCAGTGGAGTAACAGCCCTACGCCCTACCCAACTGCACATGTTTTATTGTTTTAGTTAGAAAAAGCCGTATTTATCATTTTCTTTTCTTGTTTTGTATATTGATCTGATTACTTTAGGGCCCACAGTGGAATACGAAGCAATAACTGAAATTGAATTGAAATGAAATGTACTAAGGGCAAAGGAGGCGAACTTGCGTTGTTCACGCAGCATCCCAGTGGCCCTCTGCAAGGCTTAACATCTACTGAATTAGAAACATGCTTCGTTATAACGTGAATCAGTTCAACAACATGTCAACGGAAGATGCACCTTTCAAGAAGGTCTTATCCAAAGAGGGAAAGTGACCTTGTCAAACAGGGCATACTGGAGAAGACCTACCGTACCGAATATGTAATAACAATTGGTGATTGTGATTACTATAGTAGATCGAGTGTAATTATTGTAATTCTGCATTCCATTAAATTACTGTGTGACAAATATTCTTTGTTAGAGTTTGTGTATGTATCATTTATTAAGAATATTTAATTTCATTGAGCCTACATTTTCAGTCATATTTATCCCCGTTTTAGAAGCAATTTTGTTATCCCCATATTTCCTGAACCCAACCATAACCCTCCCCTCCACTAAGACAGCACGGTGGAATTGCAAATAATCGATTCAATATTATCAAGCAGCCTATCAAAAGTTGTTTGTTATTTGTTTAGGCTTTACTGACTTTTTTTTATCCGAGTTAATTGTTTTGTATTTTATCGTATTGTCACTGTTACATTATTCACTTCTCTTAAAGGTGGGCATCCCACTGTTGGATGTGAATTTAAATAAAATAAAATAATATAAATAAAATAAACCTGTTTAAAATGTCTAATTGGTACTTAAGGCAACATTAAATGTTCAAATTCATCTAATAAAATTTCAAAAATTCCGGATGTATTGTTTATTGAAATTACTATTTACTCTGACCATGGAGGAATTAGTCCTCCGTGCTCTGACAAAAACAAACAAATAAATAAATAAATAAAACACAACGCAAGTATTTGCAGTATATTTCCGAATTTTAGAGGTTTAAGGAATTTCACTCCAGGAATTTTGCTCCTGTCCCACCTCTGCGCCTAAAATTGTGCCGCATGGTCCCGGGGCATGGAATTCAGCTTCTTGAACACGAGTGCAGTATAAAATCTGAATGTAGTTGGTTTTTATTGGCAAATTTATAGATTGTGGTTTCTTTTTAGTCCATTTCGACCGTTTTCTCTGTTTTTCTTAGCTTATTCTGTATTCTGACTACATGACTAAAGCTCATCCTGCCATATCTCAGAGCCACGATGAGACAAGTGAGACTATCTGCTTTGGCACTCCTTAGTATTGAGCGCGATAGACAATATTGCTAACGTTGATCATGTTAATAACTTATTTGTAGATGTAAAAGCACGCAAAATTCAGTTACGAGTTTAAATAAATAAGAATACTAAGCTGTATGCGATCAACAGCCTTACAAATTAGGATAATGGTAAAGTTGTATACAAAGTTCCGAACATCGTAATGCAGTTTCAGTAGCAAGAAACAGGGGTGGCGCGACCGCGGGGTGCCAGCCCCTTCGGGGATAGCTCCCCATTCCCCAGTCGGGGAGAAAAACCATAATTTGTCGGGGAGAAAAAAAATGTGTACATCTTAGTAGACTCTAAATTCGATTAAATAATCCTTGAAAACCCATAAATTGTCAAAAATCACCCCCACTACCCCGACCACTTCCGGAACATTTTAAGCGATGCTCGACCACGCCCACTTTGCTCTCGTCAGGGAAATCTCCCCCCCCCCTCTCTGTCGTGTATCTGTCTCTTATACACATCTAGATGTGTATAAGAGACAGTTTCCCTCCCTCCGTCGGGAAAATCCTGACGCCACCTTTGGTAAGAAAGAACCTACTACTGTATATGAGAGCTTGGACAGTGCTTATTTTTATATTATAATTATAATTGGGGGAAGGGGGCGCAATGTTCTACTCTTTCCCCCTGGCGCCAAAACCTCTAGCTACGCCAATGTCGCGTGGTTCAGCTCGTAGTATCTAACAATATTGCTACATTGATTTTATACGTTTATGAAAATATCAATAATAATTCACACATATTTTCTAATGAAACTTAGTAGGCCTACATCTTATGTTTTCAGAAACCAATACAGCAACAAACTCCGTTGTGGAAAAAGCATTTTCCTAAAATGAAGCTTGATGATGTACTAGCGCAGATAGGTGAGTTTGGCCGTTACCAGTTATGGGTGTTCCATTGGTACTGTATGCTCACATTCTCAGTGGCCTTCCATCACCTGGGTCAGGTCTTCCTTGGTGGCGCTTCTGACCATTGGTGCAAGGTTCCGGATACAGTGACCGCGAATTGCAGCTTTTTGGAAGATACTGGTTGCCCATTTAACTCGAGCGTCACCATACCGGTGGATGATCCTACAACGGCGGAAAATGAACACAATTGTATGCAGTATGATAGCTACTACAACATAACGAATGATACGCCGCTAATTGGATGTACCGACGGTTATCAGTTCGACCACTCTCAGTACACCAACACAATTCAAGAAGATGTAAGTGTAACATTTTCTAAATTGTGAATACATATGTTTATGAGAATTTATTTATAGTGCCGTTTCTTCTCTGTTACGATATCGGCCCCCGCTCATTAGACTTAAGCCTATTACCATTACAGTAGAAACGGACTGCATTGAAACAAGACTTAGGTTTAAACAACAAGTATTTCCTTTAAAAAAACGCCGAGACATCTTACCTTTATCTTATGTGTGAATTTTGTTATATTACTTAAACTAAAATTAATTCCAAAGGGTATAGCATGTAACGAGGTATTCTAATATTTTTTTAGTTTTATTTCCGATAATTACCATGAAATTTTAATTACAGTATTTACAATTGTGAATAAATTAATAATGGTATTTTTGGTTAATTTGTTTTTCATTGCCATAAATTAATTCCAAAGGGTTTAGCCTATAACGACTTTAATATTATTTTAGTTCCCTTTCCGATATACCATGACATTTAAATTACCGTATTGATTGCCTCTGCTCTTTCATTTGGATTTTCATTATAGTATTTCGGCATTCATTTTGATTAATTTTATTATTTATTTCTAATTTTTAACATTATTTTTATTCATTGTTGTTGACTGACCAGGGTGTGTGGTAAGTTAATTAATTACGTTGATAACCTTAAGATGTTTCATCATCAGCTATTGCAGGTCCACTGGTGGACGAAAGTCTCAGCATGTTGACGCCAAATCAATCTCAATTCTCATATCAATCTCATCTCTTCACCTTACGTTGTCATCCATGGGTGACTCCATCCTGTTACTGCTTTTTGTTTTAAGAGACTTAATATTTAACTATACTTTATTTATATGCCATGAAAATGCTTGCACCAGAGCTAAAACATCAGCCACTTGACAGCCTGTCAACAATGCAATTTGGGGTATAGCTATGTACATGGCCGCCCGAGAACTCCTGCTGACTACAAGTTCAAAAACTAGAATGAAAACCACTCAGCCAAACCGCATTTTTACCATTATTGTTAGGCCTATTAATATTACGGTATTAATAATAATAATATTATTAATTATTTTAAATATTATTTTATTTATTTTTATTCATCCCCTTCCCCACTAGCTTGGCTAAGCCCTTCTCTACTTACTACTACCGTCTGTGTGTGGGTATTGTTTAAGGGTCGATATAGCATACCGTACGGTATTTCGATAATACTAATAGTTACCCCTAGCTATCTCTCGACACAATGAAGGTGAAATAGCCTGGCTCTACTACTACTTGGCTTGCCCTACTACTACTTGAGTATTAGGCCCTAGGCATAGGCCTCTGAGGTTGTCAGCTTCTGTGTATTTTTTTTTTCGGATTGTCAATGCATAAGCCTACGTGCGCAGGTACGACGATAGAGCCAAATAATATCCATTACCTGATCTCTTTAGCTGTGTTGCGCATGCTCTATTTCTATTTTTCCCATTTCTATTTCATACCCTCTTCACAGACGCTATTTGGTTCCTGAGACGTCTTTTGGGTAACTACGCATGGTCGACATGGCTCGACAACGTCACTTGCTCATTGCACATGCTCATTGGCTGTTTAGCATTTCCAAGCGCATGCTCACTTTGTATTTATAGATAATTTGCGGACGTTCTTTGGGTAACTGCCACATGCGCATTGCTTAGTTCGGAATTCCCATCTCTTCGTCGTAAATGCTACCGCTACCTACCTACAGTTGTTAGCAACTGTATTTTATGGTACAGCAACTTATCTCAGGTCAATAAAATACTCAGAATCATGAGTATTTTATTGACCTGAATGTCAATGTAATGTTAAAATATAACTAACCTTGACTCAGAAATACCGGCATTGTGTCTACCATTTCTATCTATATAAGTAATTGTACTAGTATTAATTGTCCTACCTCGTAATCCCGGCCCCGAAACCGTGACTCAGAAATACCGGGTTGGTGTACGGCGGGGGATAGTTTTTACCATAGTTAAGCTTAATCTTGAGCCGTAATTCCTGGCCCCGAAACCTTGACTCAGAAGTACCGGGTTGGTGTCCGGCGGGGGATAGTTTTCCACCAAAGTTTTTACTATTGTTTATTTTATTGTACTGTGCTGGTTACTTCTTGTTGTTGTTATTGTACTGTGTTTTTGCAGGACCATATTTTAAAACAGCGGTAAGATCTCGCCTGTATATGTTATCCTGCCTAAAGATGTTTTAAATAAAATAAAATAAAAACAAAAATAAAAACAGTAGATATCCTGGGCGGATTAAGGTGACATTGTTGATGACTGCACCCAATATTGCTATCTTACTATTCTAGTAGTGAAAAAATAAAACACTGATAACACTGATGACCTCCTGTTCGCACAGTAACTATAATAAGTATAGGAACTTGTAGGAAGGATACCGTATGCCTACTTGAAAAGTTAACATTGTGTGTACACGTTTATTTTCACTGTCCTGTATGTACAAATGACCAAAACACATTATGTTGCATTGCTGCACTCTTTGAAGTCATGAACTCTTGGAATGACCATCATTATATGAATTATATTTTGATTTATGCGTAAATTTCTTCTTTTTTAATTAGAACTAGACTACAACTTGACACAAGAATATACCTGCACTGTACGTCATTGCATATCTATAAACAACAATTGCTTCACATAAACGTAAACAGACCAACCACCTTCACAAAGTAGAAATAAAATGAAAATTGAATTAATCATCATCGGCATCTTTTAAATTGTGAATCCCAAAGCAAAACCATTTAAATTGTTGATCCGCTAAAAGTTAAAGATTTCCAGAAGAATAATCAACCAAACAACTTGACACAAAGAAGAGGCTACCATTTTATTGCATCAACTCAGTGGCGGCGCTAGGGGAAGAAATGACACATTGATGAAAAATGACCTTCGTGTCGTGGGAAAAGATAATAATAAATAATTTCATCTGGTAACACTGGCACCAGCTCTTCCCCTGTCGATGTTTCGATGAGAGGGTTCCACCTCTAGTGTGTTCCGAGCTGCCAGCTGCCATGCTTCGACAATGGAGGGACTGAGGTTGGTAGTGTGCATCCCTGTCGGAGACCATTGGTACCTCGTCGGAGAACCTTTGACCACCTGGTTGCTGGCCATTATCACAATACTGTAGGCCTATAATTATATTTAGTTCATATGTATGCCTGTACTGTATACTGTATTACAATACCGCTTCACATTATTATTGTAATAATGGTCAGCGAATTGGGTGAAAATTATGATGAACTACATTCAGTCTAAGAGGCTGTTTGCCACAAAGACTGAGTGTAGGCCTAATTCATAACATCAAAATCTGGCCTACCATAAAATGTAAATATACAATTACAATCATACAAACATGGAAGTTTTGTTTACACATTGTAATTGAGTCATATACCAGAAAATTATATATTTCTTGTGATAGTGTATTGTTATTACAATTTGACGACCACATAGAGAGAGCGATGCTGACTCCTGACTTAGTATTGGTGGGTTAAAATGAGATTTTACTACAATCGCATTCGAATTCTCGATCTTTTATATGACTGATCTCTTAATAAATTATAATTAATAATTATTCAGATACGGGATGGTGGTATGCACGTTATTCAGTGATTGTACAATTTTAATTTACGTACATACTGTATGTAAATGCGTTTTATATATCATATATTATATAACGATTATACTATATAGGTGCTTTCTTCTTGAATTTTTCACAATTTTATTTATACAATATAAAAAAAAAACATCGAAACGTTATTTTATTTGATATTTTCTTATTTTGGCTCCAGTTTGATTTAGTATGCAGTCGCAAAGCCAGTGCTGCGCTTGCCCAATCGGTCTACTTCGGTGGACTTCTTGTTGGATCGATTTTTTTCGGATCTGTTGCTGATAGGTGAGTTTTTTTTAATTTAAGGCAGCGGCCATTTTTACACCAGTTTTAAGCATAGTGATTGGACGTTATTGAATGGAAATCTCTTTACTGCAAATTTATTTTTTCTTATAAGTTTTTTTTTAATTTTACTTCTCAATAACGTCATTTCATTTTAATAACTTTTCTTATCACATCATATGTTTTATTCTAATCTCAAAATCTTGTTTTTTATCGTTTGCCGTTACCCACAACATAACAATTTGAAGCAAAATATTAAATTGTACTGAAGGGTCATATAACCTTTTAGCTCACAAAACACAATCAAGCAAGTATTGCTTTATAAAAACACAATATTAGCATAATGGTATTTTTGTGTTTAAATACGCTACAAACGGTATTCCCTGGTAACCGCCCAACTGACTTTTGGCATACATTGACTCAATGACTTTAACGATAGCAACACCACTTAATTGTTTTTGTTTTTTTTTTGTAAATTGTACTGAAGGGTCATATAAACTTTTAGCTTTTCAACAGACAAACCACTATCAAGCAAGTATCAAGCAAGCAAGCAAGTGTTGCTTTATATAAACACAATATTAACAAAGGACATTGTTATTTCGTAAAATGGATTTTTTTATGTTTAAATACGGTACGCTACAAACTATTCCCTTGTAACAGTCCAACTGACTTTCGACATACTCAATTACTTTAACGATAGCAACGTCACTAAATTGTTTTTTTTGTTTTTTTAATGTTATTCTTTACTGTATATCGGACTATATTTGTCAATAATAAATACAATGGCGATCATCAGACAATTGGCAGCCTATAATATCAAGTCAACACTATATTATCAAGTGGAATATTAATAATTTGCAGGATTGGACGTAAACCAACCATAATCATCTGCTGTTTACTGAATTCGTCGCTTGGGGTGGTTGCAGCTTTCGTACAGTCATTTGCGGCATATGTCTGCCTACGGTTTATCATCGCCATGGCAACAATGGGCATATATTTGATTGTCTTTGTGTTTTGTAAGCATGTATTCTCATTTTTTGTCCATTTATATTTTAGGTGGTATTTTTAGGTGGTAACTTGTTTAAATATATTATTGCTACCAAACTTTAACATTTAGCAATACGGTTCAGATCAATTATTATATTTTTATTTATCAATATTTATAATAATTAGGTCAACTATACTAGTACTGTTGCTTGGACATACATATAATTATCTTCTCGTCGTCTTCGTCTCACCATCACCATTATCACAATTGACATCATACATCATTATCATCATCATCATCATCATAATCATCATCATTAATTCTTCTTCTTCTTCTTCTTATTATTATTATTATTATTATTATTATTGTTATTATTATTATTATTATTATTATTATTATTATTATTATCATTATTATTATTATTATTATTATTTTCATCACCATCGTCAATCTTATCATTTTCATCCTCGTTATTAATAATATTATTGCTATTTTGTAGCAACCGAACTTGTTGGACTAAAGATGAGATGTGTAGCAGGCAACGTGGTACCTATGTATTGGGCATGCGGCATCATGTTACTAGCGCTACTTGGCTATTTCATACGTGATTGGAGAACTCTTCAAATTGTTCTTTCGGTTCCAACTGCAGTAGCTGCTATTTATGTGGCGTAAGTATAAAATACAATGATCTTGATAGATAGATAGATAGATAGATAGATAGATAGATAGATAGATAGATAGATAGATAGATAGATAGATAGATAGATTGATTGATTGATTGATTGATTGATTGATTGATTGATTGATTGATTGATTGATTGATTGATTGATTGATTGACCTTTGTAGTGACTTAACGAATACGAAGCAACTATTAATATGATTATAATCATCATCATTCTTAATCATCTGCGCCATAACACCACCACTATCACCAACACCACAATCATCATCATCATTATGACCACCACCAACACCATCATTATCATTATCATCAGCATCATCATCATTATTTTCCTCATTATACTTAGTGTGTTTATTATGATGTGAAGTAAATTAACTATATGATTTCTTGATTTTAGCAGCAGTGCATTATCAACGAAAGATATCAATTTCATAAAGAATATGTTTGTTTTTTACTGACATGTAGGTTTCTACCGGAGTCTGCAAGATGGTTACTTTCACAAGGCGAGTTTTCTAAAGCTGAGGCTATAATACAAAGAGCAGCAAAGGTTAACAAAGTCACCATTCCTCAGAATATATTTGATGATAAGGAAGAGGTAGGCTTACATTGTCTTACTTACAGAATAATATTATTTTAGCTATGTTTACCCTACTCAATAATATTACACGAAAGATAAACTCGGAAAAGAACACCAACACATCTTACGACAAAGTTGCCAAATTCTCTAAGTAAAAACCGAAATTATAGTACAAAATATGTGAGGTGTCATGCCAAAATGAGTATGGTGGTACTCCACTTATATTAGGACAATAATTTGGTTTCAATGTTTCTAATGAGTTTTTCATGGCAGCAAATTTCTGAGTTGAAATACCTATTTTTGAAATAGAAAGACAAATTTTTGAAAATTGAAAGACAAATTTTTAAAGCCAATTTTCATGATTGATTTTAAAACCAACACAAAATATATTAATGTTTAGATGCGACTTTCATTTTCTAAGAATGATTTTAGACACCTGACATTAAGAATGATCTTACTCCTGTTGTACTTAAGCTAGGAACCTGATTCAAATACCAAAATGAACCTTATATAGGCCTAGTCATCTATCTAAACATATCAAAAATCATTTTCATTGTGTACACATTTCTCATAACAGCTCAGATATTTTAGTCTTAAAACCGCCACGAAGCACGAACCTCATGAGAACACCAATATAGATAACTCGCATGCATATTACAAACCGCGAATTCAATGTGTAGACTTATTTGATTAATGGATATAATTGGATT